TGAAAAAAATCTATCCTGAGAAGTAAGGCATGCCATTACGACCACTTGTAGGTTGAGTCCTAAACAACTTTGACTAGCAATGATGATCTTCTCCAAGGTTACTCTCTGCTGAGATTGATTATTAGAACTTTTGCTCTAGTTTGATAGGAGTATTATATCTACAAGCATTTCCCCATGACATGGGTTATACCCACCTTTCCTCCATCTCTCCTATGACAGGGATTACTTTTCCCTAAAAGGAGACAAAGTAATCCCAGGACCTGATTGTCTTCTATTTCCCTGATACAACTTCCTGGTCACCTAAGCACCAAAAACTTCCAAACCCCTAGAACTAGCTCTGAAAACAGCAAAGCAAAAAAGCCTGAAGTCTGGGACAGTGCCCCTCCCCTACCCCATGCTGGGAACAGAGTCCATTGGGAGAAGAAAGAAGTAGAATGGTGGAAATTATCTCACATAAAGGAGATGTCCAAGAAGAGTTTTTACAGTAGAGGGGTAAATCATGTGGGGAGAGGCAGTGAGCAGCATTTGAACCTCACTCTCATTTAAACTGGCTCAAAGAGAATATAAATACATATATACATGTTTATGTATATATACACACACATGTATATATTATGTGTGTGTATACTCAATTGAATATAGAAATTTGTGTTACCCAACAGGGAAGTAGGAGGGGAAGCAGGTAAGACAAAGATGGGATGATAAAAGGGAGGTCAGATTTTAGAAGGCAGTGGTCAGAAGAAAAACAGGATTTAGAGGAAGGACAGGATAAAAAGAGAGAAAAGAATAAACAGAAGATTACAGGATAGAGGGAAATGCACAGTTAGTAGTCATAACTGTGGATGTGAATGTAAGGGAAACACTCATAAAATGAAAGCAGAGAGCAGAATTAATTAGAAACTAGAATCCAACAATATGTTGTTTATGAGAAACACACTTGAAATGAAGAGACACAAATAGAGTTAAAATAAAGGACTAGAGAAGAATCTATTATGCTTCAGCTAAAGTAAAACAGGCAAGGGTGGTAATGATGATCTCAGATAAAGGAAAAGCAAAAACAGACCTAACTAAAGGGCATAAGCAGAAAAGGCATATCTTGCTAAAAAGTATCATAGACAATGAAGTAATATCAATACTAAACATATGTAGCAAATGGCAATGTATTCAAATTCTTAAAGGAAAAGTTAAATTAATTACAGGAGGAAATAGTAAAACTAAACTAGTGGGGGACTGCAATTTCCTCCTCTCCGTACTAGACAACTCTAACCATAAAATAAATAAGGAAGAAATAAAGGGTGTGAATAGAATCTTAGAAATATTAGATAAGATGGACCTCTGAAGTAAGTTGAATAGGAACAGAAAGATATATACCTTTTTCTTAGCTGTATATGTCACTTTTAAAAATGTATTTAGTACTTAATTTTTCCCCAGCTACATGCGAAAACAATTTTTAACATTTATTTTTAAAACTTTGAGTTCCAAATTCTCTCCCTTCCTCCCTCCCTCCCTCCCTTCCCCCCCATGAGGAGGCAAGCAATTCCATATAGGTTATATATGTGTAGTCATGCAAAACATATCCATAATTATCATGTTGTGAAAAAACAGGCAAAAAACTCAAGAAAAATAAAGAAAGTAAAAAATGTATGCTTCAATCTCTATTCAGACACCATCAGTTTTGTTTTTTTTCTGGGGATAGATAGCATTCTTCATCCTAAGTCCTTCAGAGTTTTCTTAGGATCATTGTATTGCTGAGAAGAGCTAAGTCATTCACAGCTGGTCATCTTACAACATTGCTGTTACTTTGTACACAGTACATTTCACTTTGCATCAGCCCATGCAAGTCTTTCTAGGTTTCTCTGAAAGCATCCTGCTCATCATTTCTTAGACTATAATAGTATTCCATCATAATTACATAGCACAATTTGTTCAGCCATTCTCTACTTGATGGGCATCCCCTCAATTTCTAATTCTTTACCCCCAGAAAAGAGCTGCTATAAATATTTTTTGTATATATGAGTTCTTTTCCTTTTTGTTTTTTATCTCTTTGGGATGCAGACCTAGTAGTGGTGTTGCTAGGTCAAAGGGCATGCGTGGTTTTATAGCCCTTTGGGCATAGTTCCAAATTGCTCTATAGAATGGCTGAATCAGTTCACAACTGCACCAACAGTACATTAATTGTACATGCCACTTTTCACAAAAATTTTTCATGTACTTGGTCACAAAACCTCACAACCAAATGCAGAAAAGCAGAAATATTGAATACACCCTTTTTAGACTATAATGCAATAAAAATTACATTCAATAAGGGGCTGTGGAAGCATAGATTAAAAATGAATTGAGAACTAAATAATCTAATTCTAAAGAATGAGTGAGTCAAAGAATAAATCATAGAAACAACCAATAATTTCATTAAATAGAATGACATATTCCATCTTGGGGAAGGGGTAGGAGAGAGTGGGGGAGAAAATTCAAAACTCAAAATCTTATGGAAGTGAATGTTGAAAACTAAAAATAAATTAATTAATTGTATTTTTTAAAAAGCGTAAAAAATAAAGAGAGTGACAATAATGAGACAACATACCAAAATTTCTGGGATGCAACCAAAGCATTACTTAGGAGAAATTTTATATTTCTAAATGTGAATATGAATAAAGGAGAGGATGATGAGATCAGCAGACTAGGCCTGCAACTAAAAGAACTAGAAAAAGAACAAATCAAAGCCCCCCAATTAAACACCAAAAGGGAAATCCTGAAAATTAAAGATGAGATTAATAAAAATGAGACTAAGAAACCATTGAATTAATAAAGCTAGAAGTCAGTTTTATGAAAAAAATAGATAAACCATTGGTTAATTTTATTCTGAAAAAGAAGAAAACCAAATTATCAGTATCAAAATAAAAAGGATAAATGCATCACCAATTAAGATGAAATTAAAGCAATTATTGGGAATTATTTTGCCCAATTATATGCAAGTAAAACTGATCATCTAAGTGAAATGGATGAGTATTTACAAAAAATGTAAAGTGTCCAGGTTAACAGAAGAGTATATAGAATACTTAAATAACCTTATCTTAGAAAAAGAAATTGAATAAGCCATAAACAAGCCCCTTAAGAAAAAATATCCCCCACATCAGATGAATTTGTCAGTAACTTCTATCACACATTTAAGAACAATTAATCCCAATACTATATAAACTACTAGAAAAAATAGGGAAGGAAGGAGTTATGTGGAGGGAGGAGGGAGAGGAGGATCGACCTTGGCTAAACGCTTATCATTTTGATGTTATCACTAAGAATGACTTTTGAATGACCCGAGAACATCTCATTTAGTTTGAATAACACCTTTAATTTACCAAGAGACAGATCTGAATCAGTCTTATATTACATATACCCAAGTGTATGTAATATAACCATTATATAGTGTATACTTGATCTTGAAGAGCACCAGTGACATCAGCAGGGTGATGCCTTGGCTTGCAAATGAATTGGATTTTAGCTTCAGAGACAAGAAAGCATGTGCTTAAAAAAACCACTAAACTGTGTATACCATTTGACCTAGCAAAAATTCTACTAGACCTACACCCAAATAAATCAAAGAAAAAAAAAAGGCACACATAAACAAAAATACTTATAAAGGTTCTTTTTGTGGTTGCAAGGAATTAGAAACTAACTTCTTCTTCAGTAATTCAGTAGTGTCTGACTCACACAGTCCGTGGGTTTTTCTTGACAAACAAACTTGAGTTGTTTGCCATTTCTTTCTCCAGTGGAGGAAGACAAAGGTTAAGTGACTTGCCTAGGATCATACAGTTGGCAAATGTCTGAGGCGGAATTTAAACTCAGGTCTTCCTGACTCCAAGCCCAGAGCTCTCTGTATCCACTATAACACCACCTAGCTGCCTCCTACACAATAACTTCAACAGAGTGGGGAATTATATGCATGCATACATACACATACATACATATACATAACAGATACATATACACACAGACACCAACATGCAGGAATAGACACTATGTACACATACATGTCTGAATGTACGTGGGTGTATAAGCATAAATATAATTTTGCACAGATTATCTCTCTTTTGCTCAATCCGGTGAACCAGGTAATCCAGGTATTATCCCGTTTTACAGATGAGAAAGCTGAAGCCCAGAAAATTGAAAGGACTGGTCCCAGGTTCCACAGCCAGTGAGTGGTATACCAGGTCACGATTCAAATCCAGGTCTTCTCATTCTAAGCCTAAGCTTTTTTTCCAGCCCACTGCCGAAGTAAGCCAAGAGCTGGGAATCTACAAATACTCAGGCTGGCATCAAATCTGCATGTTCCAGGCTCTCATAACTGACATTTGCCTAGCTCTCTTTCCTCACAAAGAATTCATGGATGCCATTAATGTCAGGGAGTGAGGTATAGTGGGAAGAGGAATAGCTCTGGAGTGAGAGGACCTACCCGGGTCACCTTTGACATTAGCGATCTGTGTAAGCTTGGGCAAGGCCCGTGACATCCCTGGGCCATCTGTAAAATGAGGGTGTTGGCCTAAACGGCCTCTAATTCCCCCTTTTTGGGGGGAATTCCAAAATTTAAACTAGTGAGGACGGGAGAGTCACAAACTACTCTTTCCCACTTTTCCAACTCTCCCTGAAATTGTAATTATCGCATAATCATTCATAAATGAAATAGAAATAGTTGTATGTGAGTCATGGGGGAGGAGGGGTCCTCTCCCCACTGCATGCGAATTATATAATCTGCAGACGGGGTTGCAGCTTGTCCCTATCGGAAGTCTCGATACATGTCAAGCCCGCAGGCTTGTCTGGGGGCGCGCTGCCTTCACTGAATCCCTTGGGCAAAAAGGTCCTAGGTGTGCCTGGAGCAGCTGCCTAGCAGCCTTTGCATACTTCTTTCCTGAGTCTCCCTCGCCTCCCTCTTGCCTCAGGGTCTGGCTGGGCTGGGTGGATGGCTGCGCAGCGCTGCTGGGAGTTTCACTTCCTCACTGGTTGGGGCTCACACCCACAGCAGGAGCGCGCACTGCCAGCCGGGCGGCTTTTCTCCTGGTGGCATCTGACCAAGTGAGCAGCAGGGGAGATCTTGTCTTGCTCGCTCCCTTCATCTCCGTGCCGCCCACCTGGTAGTGGAGAGGCAGCCGAATGGGCAGAGTCGAAGCTAGGGAAGGAAATATGAGCCACCTGGACTCCGAGGGAGAAGCTGAGCACCTCCAGGACTTGGGGTAAGGCGCTGCGCCGCGTCCCGGAGGGCTTTCAGCGGCGATGTCAAACTTGATTCAAACCTCCCTGCTTGCTTCAATCCATGATCTTGTTCCCCATTCTTTTCCTCTCTGCCCTCTTCTTTCCACACTGGAAGAGGGCAGGCATCTTCCAGTTGGTGGGCAATTTGATTTTTTCTAGCTTTTGAAACAAAACATATAACAAACTTTTTTTTTTCCTGTTGTAAAACCCCAGAGGAAGGCATGATACTATAAAATAAGATCTCGGGGGAACAAGGGTTCAGTAATACAGACTAGACTTTGTATGTGTAAAACTTAATGGGGATTCCTGAACTCCTGGCAGTAAGAAGGATGTATTGTTGATAGGGTGAGCAATAAAGCTTACTCTATAATAAATAAGTGAACTGGGGTTTGAGCATGTTTGTTGTTGGATTTTGTTTTTTGTTGTTTTGTTTTGTTTTTTCATTTTAAGAGCAAGAATGAGGAAGTATCTGCAATAATCTTGTATGTGTTTAGTTTTTGTTTTGTTTTCATTCTCTTGGTCTTCATTTGTTGAATGGTGTTAATGTGCAGAAATCTTTTATTCCTACAAGTGCTAATATGGAAACAAACTGGTAAATTCCTTTGAAATTAAGGAAATTATGCTTTTGACAGGCTAGAGGAGTCAGCTGCTTCTTGCTTTAAAAAAAAAAAAGGTTTTAAAATGTGACCCCTTCTTTAGTTCAATGAATGGCACCTTCAAAAGAGTGATTTCCCAGAGTGACTTGAGCCTTTGACTCAGAACTCCCGGATTGTCCTTGTTAATCTAGACTGGGCACTTTATTAATCAGGAGAGGAAAAATAATGGATGTCTCCACTTAGTAGCATCATGGATTATGAGATGAGGAGAGAAGCTGAAGTCAGGTCAGATACAGCTATCTGAAAATGCATATTATGATATTTTCGTGGGCTTTACCGTAACAGACCTTCAGTCTTCCTCTCTCTCTGCTTTTTAAAGGTGAGGTTTTAGAGCAGAGAATTCTATTTCTGGGACACTTGTGTTTTACAACTACAAGTTTAAGGACTCACTTCCAGGAACCTCAACCCTGCTGGAACACAGCCCCAGACCAGAAATGGGTGAAAAAAGATCTCCTGGTCCCCAAAATAGCTGTCACAAAGTCTCTACACTAAAGCCAGACCTTTAGGCCACTTCTCGAACACTCAAAACTTTATGACTTTGATTCTACACTTTTCCCACCTAAGCAAGCCTAGTTATCTAATTTCCAAACCCATAGTAAATGAAATAGAACAAAATGGAAAGAAAGCTGATAGAGACGGGTGCCATGCCAGTAGTAAGACATGATAGTTGACAGGTCGACAGAAAGGTGAGAGACAATTCAAAAGCAGATGTCAAACTTCGCTATAATGGACAGCACAGAGTAAGGAGTGGATTTCCCTATGATGACCCTGAGCCATATAGGATGAGTTCAGCATTCTCTATTTTAAAAAACCACATCGAATACATTTTAGAAAGCTTCCATACCAAAACATCTAAAGGCAACAACATGTTGAGCTTCAATGGGTTATCTGAAAAATTCACTAATGTACAACACCTCATTCTGGGTTTGGGACAACTTTTGGGTAAATGATTGTGTGTGGGATAGTATTCTAATCCCAAAATGACACATTGTAGTATTTTGAAGAGAAATGTGAGATTTGTATAAAGCCTTTTCCAGGCAAAAGAAACGTGAAAAAACAAACCAACCTGAAATGTTGTCTCTGTATTTTGGCATGCACTTCTGAAAGACATAGTGACTTCTTTGAAGACCAATGATGATACATAAGGTCTTGGGATTCTATGCCTTTTGATAATTCTGTTTTCCAGAACTGAAATGGAACAATGAAATGTAATTTGCTTGGTAGAGTCATAGAAGGGATCAAGAGGACAATTTTTAAAAAAAACATTAAATGAACAAGCATTTATTAAGCACTTACTGTGTGCCAGACTTCACTAAATGCTCTGTGAATAACTCTTTTGATCTTCACACCAACCCAGAGAAGATCAAAAGAGGTATGTTAAATAACTCAGATGTGTCTCCATTCTCTCTGTGTGTGGCTGTCTCTCTCTGTCTCTATCTCTGTCTGTCTCTGTCTCTCTGTCTCTGTCTCTGTCTTTCTCTGTATCTCTTCTCTGTTTCTCTCTTTCTCTGTCTGTATCTGTATCTATCTCTCTGTCTCTCTCTTTATCTCTCTGTCTCTCTCTCCCTCTCTCTGTCTCTCTCACCCTTCTCTGTCTTTGTCTCTCTCTCTCTCTGTTTCTCTCTCTCTGGCTCTCTCTGTTTCTCTCTGTGTGTCTGTCTCTGTCTCTCTGTCTCGCTATCTCTCTCTCCTTCTCTCTTTCTGTCTCACTCTCTCTGTCTCGCTGTCTCTGTCTCTTTATCTCTATCTCTGTTTCTGTGTGTGTTTCTCTCTCTGTCTCTCTGTCTGTATCTGTCTCTCTCTCTCTCTGATCTTTCTAATTTATCTACCTATATATCTACACATATATAGTGAGCTCTGATGACACACATCCCCCCAAAGTTTCAATGGATGTATCGGATACCTTAAATTGTAAACGGTTAAAAGCAGCATTCACCTAAAACTGCTTTTATTTGCCTCACAACTTCAGAGAGTACATTAAAGATGAGGGATTTTTTGGATGGAACATGCTGGTGGTAAAGCAGGGGAAAGGGTATTTTTCTGGTTTAGTTGTTGGCTAAAAAAAGGAGAGGAGATGTGGGAAACAAAACAAGGAAGAAAAACTACAGGCTTCACCTTGGTAATTCAGCAGCAGGGAACTGGTGAGTTGATAGAAAATAAAACTGGTTTTGTGGAGATTGCAAAAGTCCCAAGAATTCCTACATACACACTTAAAAACTGTAACTGTGGAGGTGCTAAATGGTTACTTCCAATCAGGGGCAAAAGGATATTCTGGCTAAAATGGCCTAGACTGGAAGCATTGTGTTCATTCTATGTTGGATGATTTGGCTTATTAGAGGTGAAATTCTGGGAGAGGTTGGGCTCGGGAAGGGAAAAGGCAGGAGGTTCAGAGCTAAAAGGGTTACGTCTTTAAGGGATGGTCTCATCTTTCTTGTGTCATGGTACCTTTTAGCACAGTCTGGGGAAGCCTACGGACCCCTTGCATAAACTAAATTCACAGGACTACCAAGGAAATAAATTATATTGAGATAAAGATGCAATTTTTTTTCTAATCCAAGTTCACGGATCCTCTTGAAATCTAACCCCTTCCACGACCCAGGTTAATAAAGAAATTATTAGAAGAGAACTATAACCATTAGAGAAAGCTTATTTTCCCTGTGTTCTGTATGCTTAAATATGAAAAGCGAAGTTGAGTTTACTATGGCATTATAGCATTCTGAAACAGTACATTATTAGCACATAAATTCAGTTTTTATTCGTTAATTCATTGATTCAACAAACATTTATTCTTATTATTTTTATATTTTATCTTCTTAGTACCTGTGTGACTTTGAGTAACTCATGCAACCTCTCTGAGACTCCTAATCTATAAAATCAAGGCTCTTAAAAGGAGTTGACATTGATTGCTTTAAGGCTGAAAAAATGCACTGTGAGGTGTGTAATAAGTGTTTTATTATCCCATTATACATCTAAGGAAACAGGGGCTTAAAGAGATGAATTGGCCAGGTATGGTGGTGCATACCTACAATCCCTGTTATTGAGGAAGCTGAGACTGGTGGATCTCTTGAACTCGGGAGTTCTGAACTCTAGTGGGCTAAATCTACTGGTGTTCATACTAAGTTCAATACTAATATGATGAAGGGGTTTGGGGTGCCAAGGAAGGGTCTTCAGAAACAGAGCAGATTAAAGTTTACTTGTCAATCAGCAGGGTGATAGGCCAGTGCCTGGTTGAACTGGAGCAGGTCAAAGGAATTCTTGGCAAAGCCCATTGTTAATTTTCAACGTGGCTGTTCACACCTCAGAAACCAGTAGCTGTTACAAATCAGGACTCGATTTATTGTTTTGTTTGATTGTCTAGACCTAAGAAAGTGATGGAGAAAATGTTAACAATGCATATTAAGTTTAAAAGTGTGGTAGGTATATTTTGTTTTGGAGAGCTGATTGTTAAACATTTATGAGCACACCACTGTGTGAGTTGCTGCTATGCTACTAGCCTGGGTGACATAAGAAGACTCAATGGATAGATAGACAGACAGACAGACAGACAGATAGATAGATAGATAGATAGATAGATAGATAGATAGATAGATAGATAGATGATAGATAGATAGATAAATGGATGGATGGATGGATAGATAGATAGATAGATAAATAGATAAAAAGGAGGAAGAGGAGGACAAGGAAGAGAAGGAGGAAGAAAGTCCATGAGTCACAAACTAGTAAATGTCAGAAACAAGATGTAAACCCAGGTCTTCCCAGGTTCGGCATTCATTCCACTACATCATCATCAGACCACCTACTCGGAGTGGTAATATTTTTAGAATCTCCTCCAGCTCTCAGTCTTTTGATCCTGTATCTCCAGTGGGTTTTCTCCTTAGCTGCATAACTCATTTCTTCTCCAGGCAGGCAGCCTGATGGGGAAATCTGCCCCATCTAGTGCTATGCAAATGTGGGAAAATATTTCTGATCAATCTATTGTTCAGCTCTTATTCAGAATAAATCACTTCATTAACAAAGTAATGAAAAGAAGCACTGTTGTCACCAAGATGCCTCCTGTCATTAATTTATTCAATACTTATTGAGAACCTTCTAAAGTCAGAGGGGCAGGTAGGGGCACAGTGGATAGACTGCTGGGCCTGAGATCAGGAAAACTCATCTTTTTGAGTTCAGATCTGTCCTCAGATACTTGCTAGCCATGTGAACCTGGGCAAGTCACTTAATCCTGTTTGCCTCAGTTTCCTCATCTGTAAAATGATCTGGAGAAGGAAATGGCAAACCACTCCAATATCTTTGCCAAGAAAACCCTAAATGGGGTCACAAAGAGTCAGAAACGACTGAATAATAACAACTAAGGTCAGAACAATGTGTTAAGCCTACAACGGAACACAGAAATGATTAGAACATGATCCCTGCCTTAAGAAACAGAAGCTGGGGCAGGTAAGTGGTGCAGTGGATAGGGCGCTAGTGCTGGAGTCAGGAGGACCTGAATTCAAATCTGTCCTCAGACACATACTAGCTGTGTGACATTGGTGAAAAAAAAAGAAACATACTCCAGGGGAGCAGATAAAACCTGGGCACAGCTGACTACAGAACAAAGAATTATGTGGTCAGTAGTGCAGACAAAGTGTGACAGTGGCTCAGAGGAGAAAGGTAGTGTCAGTGTTAGACTTTAAATTTGAATGGAGGGGAAGATTTTGGTAGGTGACAGTAAAGAGGGAGATCGTCCTGGTAGAGGAAAGGAAGGAATTGCGAAAGTAAATCTGTGTATTAGAAAGTACAATAGATGTTTGGACAACGGTGAGAAGTTCCAATTGGCTGCGGCCCTGGGGCCGTGTTGGAGAGTTATGGAAGATAAGATCGGAAAGGAGAGATTGGGAGCCCCTTGGATGGCAGGCTAACGGCATGGCCTTGAGGAAGCAATGGGAATCAGGCTTTAATGAAAGGGGAGAGATGCTGCTTAAAGCCCTTCACAGCAGCACTTTGAAAGGATTAATTTGGCCATAGTGCATGGTATGTTATATGGATTGGAGTCAGAAGAGATGGGAGGCAGGAGCTCAGGTAGGAAGATGCATAAATGGACTTATAGCCAAGGCAGACAATGATACTCACTAGACAACTAACTCCTTGGGAACTAGTTCTGCTGTTTTTGTGTGTGTTTCAAATGAATCAATGAGTCAACAAACTGCTCCCTAATTAAGTGCCTACTACCTCCCAGGCACCTTGCTGGACACTAGGGACAAGAAAGGAGGTCTGACAACAAGAAGCTTACATTCTATGCAGTGTGACAGTTAAAAAACATTCGAGAGACATGATTGCTAGGTAATTTAATCATTTTACTAATAAGGCTAGCATGTTATTAATACAGGTTACTAATAAATTAATAATCAATAGTGTTATTAATAAAAGAGAGGCACTCTCAAATGCCAACCACCCCTTATGGTGATGGGCTCACACTTTATATGCCTTTGCAAGAGTGGGTGTTCCTGATGGTGGCAATCACCTCTAATTGGTTAACAATTAATGAGAAAATGAATGTGATAATGAGAGGTGGGCTCATTCTAATGAGGGTCTTGGAGGTGCATGACTTGGATCACCCGAGTCTGGGAAAAAGAAACTTATCAATTTGCATATCACCTGTCTGACAAAAGGGAGAATCCACATTTTCTGAGATCTGTGTGAGTAAATGCAATGGGCAGGAATCCATCCATTAGCCTAAACTTAGAATTTCTTTTCTGTCTGATTAGACCTTAGCCTGGGTAAGTCTTTAAGAAAGATTTCCTACACTGGTTGATTTCTGGATGAGGAAGTAGAAAAGGGGAAAGATCTTGGTCTTGATTCAATAATTAGTTATTATTAGTTATTAGCTACATGAATGTAATGTAATACTACTGTGCTATGAGAAATGATGAGCTGGAGGACTTCAGAAAAACCTGGAAAGACTTTTATGGACTGATTCTGAGTGAAATGAGCAGAACCAGGAGAACAATGTACACAGTAACAATCATATGGTGTGATGACTGACTTTGATAGACTCAGCTCTTCTCAGCAATGCAAGGATCTAAGCCAACCCCAAAAGTCTCATGATGGAAAATGCTATCCACATCCAGAGAAAGAACTATGGAGTCTAGATGCAGATGGAAGCATACTATTTTCTCTCCTTTTCTTTTGTTGTTTTGTTTTGTTTCTTCTTTCTCATGGTTCCTCCCATTGGTTCTAATTCTTCTTTACATCATGACTAATGTGAAAATACGTTTAATACAAATGCATAAGCAGAGCCTATATCAGCTTGCACTCCATCTTGGGGAGGGTGGAGGAAAGGGAGAGGGAGAAAAATTAAAACTCAAAATCTTATAGAAATGAGTGTTGAAAACTAAAAATAAATTAATTAACCAAATTTTAAAAAGAGAAATAATCATTTCCCTCAGGAGGAAATATGTTCATATATGTGCATATAAAATAAAAGCATAAATAAAAAGTAACCTGGAAATAGGCAGAGGCACTAACTACTGGAAGAATCAGGAAAGGTCACATAGTGTTTGAGCTGAATTCTGAATGAATGAAACAGCATTTAGTAAGTACTTTATTGTTATTCAATTGTTTCAGTCATATTCCACTCTTCCGTGACCCCATTTGGGGTTTTCTTGGTAGAGATACTAGAGTGGTTTGCCATTTCCTTCTCTAGTTCATTTGACAGATGAGAAAACCAAGGCAAACAGGATGAAGTGACTCACTCAGGGCTAGTTAACGTCTGAGGCCAGATTTGAACTCAGGAAGATGAGTCTTCCCAACTCCAGGGCCAGCGCTCTATGCACTATGGCACCACCTAGCTGTCCTAGTAAGTGCTTGCTATGTGTTAAAACAAATACAAAACCAAAGATAATCCCTGCCTCAAAAAGCTTCCATTCTAAGTGGGGAGAGGAGTAAGGAAGATGGCATATATAGGAGATTTAGGAGAGAGTTGGCCATGGTGGAGTATTTTGGTTTGTAAAGTTTCAGGGATGGTAAGTGAAACCACAGGGGATTAGATTGACCCAACCCTCGCAGTAGCAATTGCAATATTCATTTGGCATGGTGTGTATCTCAGATAGGGCACCAGGAGAACTATCTTGCTAACAATCTGAAAAATCTACTGAGTTTTCCTAGCCTCTCAGACTCTCTGGTGGCTTTCTGAATGAATAAAAAGGCAGCCAGTGACAGCCTTTGATAAAACTGAGGCACCTGGTAAAATAAACTTGGTGGGCATGAAAGGAGTCAGAGAAAGAGTATCTATATGCCACTACATCAAAAACTCAGGGACAGTTCACTCAAGCAGCTAATCAGGACTATTTAAGTAGTAGTCATAATTGGGAAAAGAGAAGAAAGTGGAATATTGCTCTGCTGTAAGAAGTGATGAGCTCAATGGTTTAAAAAAAAAAAAACCATGGAGAGATCTCCATGAAATAATGAAGAGCGAAATGAGCAGAACCAAGAGAACATTGTATGCAGTAACAGCAGTATTGTTTTAAGAACAATTTTAAGCAACCGAGTCATTCTATTATAAATACCCAAATTAACCTCAAAGATCCTATAGAGGAAGATGCTGCTTGAATCCAGAAAGGAATATTGCTGTGGTGGAAGAAAGGATGAGCTGGTTGACTTAGAGAAACATGGAAGGACTTGGGCTTATGGAGGAAGATGCTACCCACATTCAGAGAAACAGATGACAGGAGGAAATAAGCCTAGTACGGTCTTACATATATATGTATGAGTGTATATGTTTATAGATATCTATGTGTCTGTATATATATATATATATATCCATGCTTAATTGTAGCCTTCCTTAGGGTGGTGGGTGGAGGGAAGTGAAAAAAATAAAGTAAAAAGTGGACAGCAGAGGACAAAAGAAAACCAACAGGGTAGCAAAGAAAAGCTGGGCAGCTTTGAAAACAATGTATAGTATTTATTATATAGGTTTTTTGAAAGGGAAATTTATTTTTTATATTGAATCCTCTCTTATGGTCTGCTGTGTACATGGCAATGATTTTTTTTCTTTTCTCATTTTGTATTTAAGTGTAAATTTTTTTTTTAATTTACCAAACAAAAAAAAAATTTAAAAAGGGAGGAAAGAAGATAACTTTTGTTTCAAGAACAGATTTGTTCTTCTTCAGGACCACATAATTGCTTCTCAGTGAGCCAAGGAAGGTTTTGTTTCTGCTAGTATAACCCTTCAAGGGGGCTGATGGGAAGTGTAGCTTTTCCCAAATGGACTTTCCATTCTAGTACCTTCTAGAGGTCCTGGAGGATTGTGGGAAGTGGAAGCCAAGGGACATGGAAAGCCTAAGAACTTTTGAGTGCCTGGGGACATCATTGTAAGTTAGAGCACTGCTACCCCAAACTGAATATCATTAGGAGCAGTTGGGTGCTTGTCTAGCTCACTGACCTCCTTAAGGAGTGATCTGCCTGAACAGAACGTTGTGGTTTTCCTGACTGCTGCTAGTACTAGGACCTGGTAAATTTATCCCTTTTCCACTTCCTCCTTCCCTTGCTTCATCACTGCCCGACTACCCTCAGGAGTTTACTGATCTCTTGAAATTTATTTACTGTATATTCTTCTGTAATGGGTTTTGTCGTCAGGTAAAGTTAAGCTGATTTTTATTACATATTGAGTGAATAGTGGCTACAAAACAGTGGTTAAACAGCCCTGGTTTAATCATGAATCAGCCAGTCAATAAGCATTTAGTAAGCACTTACTATGTACCAGGCACTATGCTGAGTACTAGAGATACAAAGAAAGGTAAAAGATATTCCCTGCTTTTAAAAAGATCCTAGACTAGTGAGGGAGATAACATGCAAAAAAACTATGTACAAACAAGGTACAAGCAGGATAAATTGGGGGTAGACTCGGAGGAAAGTCACTAAGATTAAGGAGGATGGGGAGAGGCTTCCTGCAGAAGGGGAAGCTTGAGGTGAGACTTTGAGGGAAGCTAGGAGTCAGTGATGAAGAGGACGAGCAATCCAGGCTTGGCGGACAGCCACTAAGAATACTAGCAGTTGGAAGATAGTATATCTACTTCACGGAACAGCAAGGAGACCAGTGTCACTGGGTCACAGAGTGCCTGGAGGGAAGTGAGGCATAAAAACACTGGGAAGGTGGAAAGAGGCCAGGTCATGAAGGGCAAAATAGGGAATTTTATATTTCAACTCTGATGGGAAACTTCCTTCGATAGTGTGCTACTGCCTGTGAAACTTGGATAGCATACCAGCGCCATGCCAGGAAATTGAATCGCTTCCATTTGAATTGTCTTGGGAAGATTCTGAAGATCACTCAGCAAGAGAAGATACTAGTCACTGAGGTCCTCTCAAGTTGAATTGTCAAGCCTTTAAACTCTACTGCAGAGAGTGCAACTCTGATGGGCTGGCCACGTTATTCAAATGCCAGATGTAAGTTTGTCTAAAACAAACTTTTCTGTGGAGAACTCACACAAGGCAAGCACTCACATTGAGATCAAAAGACATAATATAAGGACACCCGAGGTCTTGCTGAAGAACTTTGGAATTGATTGTGAGGCATGAGAGACACTGGCAAAGGACCACCCAGCATCAAAGAAGGGGCTGTGCCCTATGAGCAAAACAGAATTGCAGTAGCTCAAAAGAAACATGAGATATACAAATTTAGAGATATCTCCACTCCAAGTGTTCATGTGAACTACTTGTGCCCAATATGTGGTAGAGCTGAGTTCATATTGGTTTAATCAGCCGCAGTCAGACATACTGTACATACTGTACATTGTGATGTCATTTTGTCCTCTTCGAGAACAAAGAACTATTAACCAACCAACCAACCACCCTCAAGTCCTGCCTTACTTAGCACTACCTGCCAATCAAAGTGGGATGCCATTTTTAATGTCTTTCCAACTTGGCAATCCATACCACATACCCAGTTCCCTAGCATTGACATCTGATCTACTAGTTTCTCAGGGAGAGTGAAAATCCTTCTTGAGTGTTTTTCAGTTTTTTTGAGCCACTCCCCATACAAGTAGAAGGCAGAACTTCCAGTCATCATTCTAGTGTTTCTTTCTTTTTCTTTGACTCTCTCTTCCAGCTACCAGCCCCATACATTCCTTCCAATGACCTCTGTTTATTGTCTCCAGTTACTCAAACAGAAGGAATGAAGAAAAGTCATAATACCCAGTACAAATCCATCAATCAACAGGTGTTTTATTGAGTATTATGTGACCAGCATTGTGCTACATGTTACATAAGCCACAAAGAAGAACGGTACAGTCCTGTTTCTTGAGGCATTTAAACCTTTATTTTTGTTGTCGTTCAGTCTTTTCAATTGTGTCCAACTCTTCATGACCCCATTTGGGGTTTTCTTGGCAAAGATACTGGAATGATTTGTTATTTCCTTCTCCACCTCATCTTACTGATGAGGAACCTGAAGCAAACAGGGTTAAGTGACTTGCCTGAGATCACAGCTAGGAAGTGTCTGAGGCCAGATTCAAACTCAGGAAGATGAATCTTCCTGACTCCAGGCCTGGCACTCTATCCACTGCACCACCAAGCTGCTCTAAAAAACTCCAAAACAAACCTTTATCACGCTATCCCTTATCAGATGTTTGTAAAGGCTCAATATTGCTTGCCAAATAAATCAAAATTCCTTAGCTTAGTCTTTTATGGGTTCCCACAATTTGAAACTCCTCCCCTCCTAGCCTTCTTTCTGTATAATCTACCCTCTCACCAACCATTGTTGCCTGTCCACCCCTCAGGCTTTCCATTACTTTGTTTAGAGTATTCCTTATGTGCAGAATAACACTGACCTTCTCATTCCCAACACCAGCTGAACTACCGCACACCCTCTAAAGCTCAACTCAAAAGCTACCTCCTCCAAGAAGCCTTTCCTGTTTCCCCACAGGCAAGGTTGTCCCCCATCCCAGGACTATACATAACACTTTGGATTGTACGTCCCTTCCTCACTTATCCAAGGTCACACAGCTAGCTTGTGGTAGAGCATGAACTCAGGTGCCTGGACTCCAAGTCCAGAGTCCAAAGTCCAGACCTGGCCCACTACTAGTCCTTAGCTAAACTTTGTTATCTCCTCTAGCTATGAGTTCAAGGTCCTACACATTAAATGAATGCTCTATTTGCATTTAAGGTCGATATTAATACTGTCTTCTCTACACTTGAATTGTAAAGGAGTTCTATGATATAAAATCAATATCCAATTGCCCAAATGAGATAACATATTTAATAAACCTTACAGTGCTATATAAATGACCAGCTATTATTGTTACTATTAATTAAAAATTATTGGAGGGCTAGAAGGGGAAGCCGACCAGAATGTAAGTATAGAGCCTGATTAGGTTGGTAACAAGTGGTACTTGTGTATGAGCTAACCAACCATCCAGAGAGGATTAGTCGGAGAAAAATGTTCAGTGTCCTCTATAAAGGCTAACCCTAGAAAGCAAGGGTTGGTCCTAGAGAAACCATTGGTGTTCTGGACTGGTTTAACATTGTAAAGTAGAAGAAACACTAGCCATATGGTTAAGACAGATTTAGATTCAAATCTTGCTCTGATATTTATGTTTAACTATTATAGGGGGGTCCCCAGAAAACTACACCAAGATCAAGACATTTTGTAAATCAGCATCTAGTTTTTAAAAACTGGCTTATGAGCCTCCACCGATGTTTTATTTACCTATGTTAACAAGAAGACACTTTAGTTCAAAGCGAAAGAGCAAATCGACGATATTCGCATGTAACTGAAAAAAAGAAACCCCCATCCATACAGAGGCACATTCTTCCATAGGTTAGCCCATCAACAGTGGGATGCATGCATACCCTGAATTGAAGCATCAAAGGATACACATGGCCAGGGAACACATATGGAGAGGGACATACAAAGGAAATATCTTTGATCAGGTAACTTATATGACCTGGGCAACTCACCTACAATGTTACAGAGCCATTGATGCAGTCTGGTGGTCATCATGCTATTCTCAGCTGTATGTCTCCACAGAGATAAGTGGTACAAGGGGTAGAGCACTGGGCCTGGAGTAAAGAAGACCTGAGTTCAAATCCAGCCTCAGATACTTACTAGCTGTGTGACCCTGGGCAAGTCACTTTACCCTTTGTCTGCCTCAGCTTTCTCAACTGTAAAACAGAGATAATAATAGCATCTATTTCTCAGGATTGTTTCAAGGATCAAATGAGATAATATTTGTAAAGGGCTTAGCGCAGTACCTGTCATATAGTAGGCACTATATAAATATTAGCTAATTATTATTATTATTATCTGTTAGGTGTCTGCTGTCTGGCGGGTGTCAATAATTGAGCTATACCAATGAAAGCACAGGTTTAAACCCTTTTCCACCTTCTTTCTCCCCAACCCCATCAAAAAAAAAAAATACCTCCCCACTGCTAGCTTGATAAGAACAGGGATTATATTCTGTTTTACTTTATAGTTCAGGATAAGATTTTTTTAAAAAACTCTGATCTAAGTACTTTGTATTTTTTTGTTATCACAGTGCCATTCATATAGTAGACACTGAAGGACCAAGAAAGCAAGGAAGTCTGGGACTCAGCACTTGCTTCTGTTAATTTTCAAAGTCAGTCTTGTATCACCTCTTAGGTCCTAGACAGTTTTTTGAGATCAGCAACGATGAAGGGCTTAGCAATCCTATCCAAAAACTCTTTCAGTGCACTTCACTCTAAGACACATCCCAAAGTAAGAGGTGCCATGCATGATGGCTCATGCCTGAAATCTCAGATACAGAGGAGGCTGAGGCAAGGGGATCAATTGAGTTGCAATGAATCCTATGGGCTAATCAAGTGTCTGCATTAAGTTCGGCATCAATATGGTGAGCCTCTAGGAGTGAGGGACCGCCAAGTTGATAGGGGAGGGGTAAACGGGACAAGGGCATGAATGGAGCAGATCAAAGCTCCCATGCCAATGAGGGCGGGATTCAGCCATGAGTAGACCCTGTACTTCCAACCTGGGTGAGGTAGGAAAATGTAGTCTTTTAAAAAAAATGAATTAGACTAAAATAAAGTAGGAGAGGTATGGTAGGACGAATGACAGACTCAAGGAACTTAAGAGCTGGAAGGGACCTCAGCAGTCATCTTCTTACAGGAGTCTGCAAACTACACCTGTTTCTGTTGGTTGGTTGGATAGTTGTTGTCCTTCGTTCTAAAAGAGGATCAAAATGACATCACTTTGTTGGAGTCAAGGTACAGTATGTCTGACTGTAACTGACTGGACCAATACGAGCTCAGAAAGTGCTACCGCAGGTCGGGCACAAATAGTCCATATGAACATTTGGAGTGGAGATGTCTCGAAATTTACACATCTGCCATTTCTTTTGAACTACTGCAATTCTGCTTTGCTCAGAGAGCACGGTGCCTTCTCTGATGTGGGCACTTGCTGGGTGGTTCTTTGCCAGTATCATGCAATTGATTCCAAAGTTTTTCAGAGAGACCTTGAGAGGGTCCTTGTATCACTTCTTCTGACAACCATGTGGGTGCTTTCCTTGTGTGAGTTCTCCGTAAGATAGTCTTTCAGGCAAATATACATTTGGTGTTCAAACAATGTGGCCAGTCTGTTAGAGTTGTGCTCTCTGTAGCAGAGTTTGAGTGCCTGGAACTTTAGCTCAAGAAAGTACTTCAGTGTCCAGTACCTTATCTTGCCAGGTGATCTTCAGAATGTTCTGGATAATGTACAATGGCTCTCACACTTGCCCTGTCACCAGTGGAGTAAAGGAAGGCTGCCTGCTTCCTCCCATGCTTTTTAGCATGATATTTTCAGCAATGTTGTCAGAAGTCATCAATGAGGACAAAAAAGGCATCAAGGTCAGCTACTGCACTGATGGTAAACTAGTTAACTTGAAAAGACTATCAGCCAAGACCAAAGTGGAGGAAGAATCAGTGCACGATTTTTGTGCACTCAATGCAGCCTCTGAAGCTGGCATGCAACAAAGTATGGATCGAGTCTCTACTGCTTGTGCTAATTTTAGCCTAACCATCAATACCAAAAAACACAGGTTCTCCATCAGCCATCATCACACCATCCATACTTGGAACCATCAGTTACAGCAAATGGAGAAATTTTGAATACTGTGTATAGGTTCACTTATCTTCACTTGTACAAAGAAAGAACTATGGAGTTTGAATACAGATCAAAGCATACATTTGCTCTTTTTTTTTCTTCTGTTTTGTTTTGTTTCCTCTTTCTTGTGGTTCCTTCTATTGGTTCTAATTCTTCCTTACAACAAGACTAATGTGAAAAAAAAGAATCGTATCAGAAGTGCTAGAGCTGAGACTGGTAAGGAAAGCTAAGCAAAACAAAAAGTGGGGTCTTAGGGGACATTTTTATGGCATGTGAGGAAGGAGTATCAAAGCAGGGATAGAATCCTTGTTTGGAGTGGATGGGGAAAAATAAGACAATAGAAAGAAACACTAGCTGCTTGATTCTTTTTCTACTTGAGTTTCCTCTGTCAAGAAAAATGATGTTTAGACTGGAAAAGACATAATAAAAATGATCACTAGGTAGCATGGATACAAGATTAGTAAGGATGCAGTAACAGAGCCCCACCTGCCCTTGGAGAATTCAAGTAACGTATAACCTCAGATCCTGAAAGTATTGGCAAATGTGATGGTAGAGTCACTAGCAGTGAATTTTAAAGACTGTAGACAAGGGAGGTGGTACCATAGAATTGAAGAAGGGCGAATGTAATTCCAGTTTTCAAAAGATAGAAGAGATTAGCATCAGTGAGCTTGGCTTGAATTCATGGAAAAATTATAGACCTCATTATTAAAGAGATAGTTAAAGACCATCTAAAAGTGGTAATCCCAGAGAACCTTCAAAACCACTCCAAACTAACCAAATTGGCTTACTAAACTGGTAGATAGAGAAATTCAGGAGGTATATTTTGCTTCAATTTTAGCAAAGCATTAGATAAAACATTTTATACTACTCTTGTATGAATAATAGATGTGAGTTAGAAGGTAGTGTAATTAGAAGGATTCATAACTGGTTGACTTCAAGTATATTGGCTTGATGTCATCTTGAAAAGAGGACTCTAGTGGAGTACCTTCAAGATATGTTATTTGCCCTGGGCTGTTCAACATTTTTGTCAATTATTTAAATGAAAGCATAAAAGGCATGCTTATTGAACTCGTAGATAACACATAGTGAGGAGAGATAATGGACACAAAGGGTGACAAGAGTCAGGATCCCCCCCCCAAAAGTGTTGACAAGCTATATCATTGACCTGAGTCTAATAAGATGAAATTTAATAGGAAAAAAACTAAAGTCTTATCTAATTCTAAAGCCTTGGATTTAAGAAATCATTTTTGTGAATACAAGATAGGAAAGACATGATTAAACATTAGTTTCTCAGAAAAAGACCTTGGGATTTTAGTTGGCTACAAATAAAGTATGATTCACCAATGTGATGTGGCAGTCAAAAAAGCTATTGAAATTTTGAGCCACATTAAGAGGGGCAAGGTGCCTAGGACTAGGGGATTGATAGTCCCACTAATTCTGCCCTAGTCAGACAATATCTGGAGAAACAGTTCAGTTCTGGGAAATAGAGTTTAGGGAGGACATTGATAAGTTGGAAAGTGTCCAGAGGAGAGTAACCATAATGTTCAAGGACTTTGAGACTGTGCCACAAGATGATTATTTGAAGAAAAAGAATAGTAATAGGGACATCCAGAAGTTCATAGAAAACCAAATCCAAAAGATAAGCTGGTGGTAAAAACCTCAACTGTTAATATATACATAAATACCCAATGTTTAGCGATATGTAAAGTGAACTGGAAATCCTAATGCAAGGAAACCATTTTGATCTCATAGCTATCTTAGAGATATGGTGAGATAAAAACCCTTTACTCAAATATAGGTCCTTATGGGTTTGCCTTATTCAAAAGAAACAGGATAAATAAAAGGGGTGGGATAGCATGTTGTATTAAGAAGTTGTTCTCATGTGAAGAAATCCAGGAACTAGAAGGAGAAAGCATGGTAGGTAGCATTTGAGTGAAGGTCAACGGAAAGAGAAACAGAAGCAGTTTTGTTTTTGGAGTATATTACAGACCACCTGATCAAAAAAGAGGTGGTAGATGAAGAATTTCAGATACAAATAATAAGCCTATTATAGAGGAAAAATTCAGTAGTGGTGAGGGAGTTCAATTATCTGGATATCTGCAAGATTTCTCTGCCTCTGTCTCTCTTTCTCTGTTTCTATCTCTGTCTCTTTTATCTGTCTGTCCCTGTCTCTGTTTCTTTGTCTTTCTTTCTCTTGCAGAGCTGCTAAGAAACTTCAGAAGTAGAGGAATCAACAAAGGGAAATTGTGCTCTGAATTTGATTGTCACCAACAAGGAGGAACTCATTGCTGGGGCGAGAAATGATGGGAACCTGGGTGGGGTGGGGGGTGGGGGAGGAAGTGACCACTCCCTCTAAGAGTTTGTAATAAAGGGACAGGAAATCCAGACAGTCTGATTTGCACCTTAGATTTGGGGAAAGTAGTTTTCAAAGGGTTCAAAGTATGGTACCTGTCAATGAACTAAAATTCTATAAGGCAAGTTAGCTCAGGATGGATGGGAAATTCTCAAGAATTAAATCCTGAGGGCACAGAGAAAAACAATTTTGCTGAGAGGGAACAGTAGGAGTTGTCTGAGAAGACCAATGTCAATGCATGGAGAATTCACCAGCCAGCTTGGTTTTTCAAAAGGTATGTACAGAAGATGACAGCAGGAACGGATGGACGCAAAAGGGTGGCCCAGTGCTATAAACATAACGTCAGGAGGGCTAAAGTTCAGGATGAGCTGAAAGAGGAATCGGGGGAGAAATCAAGCAATGTCAAGGTGTTGGAGCTTTTTTATAGTTATACTGGAAGAAAGATGAGACTGGATGAAGGGCTTGAAATAGATGGGATGGTGCATGACAACAGATTAAAGACAGAGCTGCTCAGTTGTTATTTCACTTCTATTTTCTCTGCCAAGGAGAATGACTTTTGGACTGGAAAGGACAGGATGACAACAACACAATATGGTGGGGGATTTTGTGCACTGCAAGCTTAACAGTGTGATATGGCAATGCACCCCCCCCCCCGCCCAAGAAACGCTAATACAATCTTAGGCTGTAGTAAGTGGGATTCAGCCCCTACTGTGTCAGTCAATAGACCAGTGTAACTTGTATATTTTGTCTCTTCCTTTACTGGAACCCCAAGCTCAAAAAGAAATCCCGATGTTCAATAGTCCCAGAATTACAGAATTTTATAGTTCAGTGGGCTATGAAGTCATCCGTAAAGTAAGATAGTTCCACCATCCAGGATGATAAAGAGCCTTGAGACTATGGCATCTAAGGCATGCCTGAAGGAAATAAGGATGTCTTGCTTGGAGAAGAGGCTAAGGCTGGGGGTGAGAGGGGAAGAGAATGGGGGTATCTAAGTATTTAAAGGGCTGACATGTGGAACAGGGACCAGACTTAGTTTGGCGGTTTGGGGAGGGGCAGAAGGGAAAGGGAGAAGGGAATCACCATTTATCAAGTGCCTACTACGTGCCAGGGCCTAGACAAAATGCTTTACAATTATTATCTCATTTGAAGAAACAGGAATAATGGTTGGTCGTTGAAATGTAGACAGATACGGGCTTTGTATTATGAGAAACTTCCTAATAATAAGATGGAATGGGGTGCTCTGGAAGATAGTGAGTTCCTCCTCATCAGAGGGCTTCCAACAGAGGCTAATGACCACTTGCCAGGCTTGTTGTACAAGGGTCAAGTTTTTAGTTATGGATTAGATTAGATGGTCGATAAGGTCTCTTCAAACCCTAAAAAAAAAAAAAAATTCTGTGATTCTGTGATCCTAAGAATTGAGTGTTTACTCTAGAAAAGAAAAGATTCAGTGGGAATATAATTGTCTTCTAATATCTGAAGAACGATCATGTGGAAAAGGGATTAGATTCTGTTTGGCTCTAAAGAATAGGACTAGCAGGGGGCAGATAGGTGGCGCAGTGCATAGTGTTCCAGCCTTGGAATCAGGAGGACCTGAGTTCAAATCCAGCCTCAGACCAGACACTTGAAGCTTACTAGCTGTGTGACCCTAGGCTAGTCACTTAACCCCAATTGCCTCACCAAAAAAAAAGAAAAACTTCTTAATAACCAGATATATCGGATTGCCTTAGGAGATAGTAGGTTGCACTTCATTGGTCTTCAAGGCTGGATGATCATGTGTCAAGCATGTTGGAGCCACGGTTCTTTTTTGGGGTGTGGGTTGCTAAGGTTCCTTTCAATTGGAAGCGGTGTGATTCTGGGATTAAAAGTAAGGGAAAATATTCTTCTATTAACTACTATTACCTCAGTAGATAGAGATAATGTGGCATAGTGTATGGAAAGCTGGGCTCTTAAGTAAGTCCCACACTGACTGTGTCCTGGGCAAGTCACTTAACTACTCAGTGCCCAAGGCAACACTCTGAGACTAGACATTGCTGAGAAGGTGCCTGCCTGCGTTAAGAGAGAGAGTTTCCTCACTGAGGAGCTTCTTAAGTGAATGAAATCACAGGTTTAGTCCCTATCCTATCTCAGGCAATAACGACTAAATTTTTATCCCCTCCCTTAACTGGAATTCCAAGCTCAAAAGAAAATTCCAGAATTTCATAGCTGAGAAGGATCTGGAATCATCCTTAAAAGAATTACTATTAAGAAGTTGATCCTTCTCTCCTTTGTCATGGTGGGGGGGAAGGGGGGAGAGGTTTTTAAAGGCTTTCAACAGAGCCCAATTCAGGTCCTACCAAGCTGGAAAAGTAGTCTTGAATCTCCTGTTGAGTACAAACTATATGATTATTTTCCAAGTCCAGCATAGACAGGTTCTGAGAGATTCCCCTCCAGGGCTACGGGGTGATAAATTTCTGGCCCCAGTAGTTTTGGAATGCCATCCACTAAATTGGAAAAGGAATACAATTTGGAGCATCCACACCAGAGATAATATATTTCCTTAAAAAGTAATCATGGGGCAATTAGGTGGCGCAGTGGATAGAGCTCCGGCCTTGGAGTCAGGAGGACCTGAGTTCAAATCTGGTCTCAGACCAGACACTTGACACTAGCTGTGTGACCCTAGGCAAAAAGAGTAATCATGTTACTGCTTTCTATCCTTTTCTATTCCACCTTCATTTGAAAATAAATAAAAATTTAAATTTTCAACAGGAGAAAAAAAAACGATTGGGATATTTTCCTTTCTCCAATCTGTGGTACCTCTCTCCCAGTCCATGGTATTTCAATTTTTTTTTCAATTCAATTCAGTAAACACTTGATTAAGTACTTACAATGGACAAGTCATAAGGAGCTTATATTCTAATGGTGGGAAGGGCAAGGAAAGGATCTGCATCGTTTTTACCTTACATAAATTTTGCAAATTTCACAGCCTTCTTAAAAGGCTAAACTTTAATAGCTTTCAAATATCACTTCTCTGACTGAATTGACATTAAAAACAAAAAACTTTAGCCAACATCTCCTACAGTGTGGTCTTTCAAATATTTCTTACAGTGAATCAGTAATTACTTCTGCTAGCCTTTCCAAGGTGGAGCACCTTGATTGGTAGATTCTGCAGTTTGGATTGCATCCTGTAGGGAACATACAATGATTATTACCAGTGAACATTTATTGAGATTACCATGTGTAAAAATAACATTGTTCCTGGACTAAGGTTGAAAACTATTTAACACATGGTCTCTGCTCTTGTAATGTTCCCATTCTAGTCTGGTTAGATAGACAATATACATAAAGTACATCTAACAGTATGTGGTAGGGTAAGATAAGAGCTTCTCACAAAAAACAAAATGAGGGTTTAGATAGAAACAGGCTTCAGAGGGACAGATATATGGGGGTTAGGTTTTTCCTATAAAGATTAGGTATCTATTAGCATTTTTTTAAACGAGAAGATTTCTATGATGCTTTAACTTTATTATTAAGTGCTATAAAAAGCTATAGAAAGCATCACCTAGTAGATAAACACCAAGCCTCCAAGACAGAAACACTGAGGATCAAGTTCCATTTCTGATACATACTTTTCGTGTGGCCCTGGACAAGTTATGTAATCTCACAGTGGCCAACAGGCAACTCTCTAAGACTGTATGGGCTACAAAAAATGGCAGTGGTCTCTTTAGCAGCACATCAACTAAAATTGGAAAAATGCAGAGTAAATTAGCATGGCCACTGAACAAGTTTGGCATGCAAATTCATATATATTATATATATATAATTATATATACATATATGCATATTACATACATATATAGATATATAAATAATACACAAATTTTAAAATCTGTAAAGCATAGATTTTTTTAAAGGGCAGCTAGGCAGCAGAGGATAGAGTACAAAAATCCCAATAGATAGATCTATCTTCCTGAGTTCAAATCTGGCCTCAGACACTTGTTAGCTGTGTGACCCTGGGCAAGTCATTTAACCTCGCTTGCCTCCATTTCCTTATCTGTAAAATGAGCTGGAGAAGAAAATGCCAAACCACTCCAGTATCTCTGCCAAGAAAACCCCAAATGGGGTCATCAAGAGTTGTACACAACTGAAACAACTCAACAATAACAAAAATTTGTTTTAAATAGCAAAGCAAGTATAAACCTGAATTGGTAGAGGAAGTTCATCATTGGGGGGGATCCCTATACCAATGACATCACAGGTCCAGTCTCTAGAGCTCAGTTGGTTGTTGTCCTTTGTTCTCAAAGAGGACAAAAGTGACAACACTAGGTTGGAGTCGAGATACAGTGCTAGCCTGTGGCTCATCAGATCAATAGGAGCTGAGAAGGCTGCCCACGGGTTGGGCACAAATAGTCTATAGGAACATTTGGAGTGGAGACGGCTCTAAATTTGCGCATCTCGAATTTCTTTTGAGCTACTGTCATTCTGCTTTGCTCATAGCGCTCAATGCCTTCTTTGATGTGGGCACGCCATGCCACACAGTGCTTTTCCAGGGTATCTCATGTCCCACAATTGATCCCAAAGTTCTTCAGAGACTTTGAAAGCATCCTTATATTGCTTCTTCTGATTACCATGTGAGCACCTGCCTTGCATGAATTCTCCATAAAACTGTTTTTAGGTAAATATACATTTGGCATTCAAGCAATGTGGTCAGTCTATTTTTGTATAATATCTGTGGAATACAAATCTTGCTGCAAGTTACAGTTTACCTTCTATCTAACTTCAAGACCCTAAAGAGAGTCTTGAGTTTTTTGTTTGTTTTTTTCCTTTCTGTTATTATTAACAAATGAAAGGACGCCTAGAAATGTTTGCAGCAATATGGGTCAAATCATGCTACAATAAAATCAGCGGAATAGCCATGTTATTTTGTGGGATTAAAATTTTGCGGAATCAGCTATTGCTATAAAAAATGAGGTTCAAATAACTGACTTGGGCCTTTGTCATACTGAGATTTTTGTCTTAGAAGTATCTATAGATAAGAAGAAATACATGAAAGGTCTGTTGAGGATTCATTGGCTGAAGAGAAATAGAACTTTCACCCTGGAGAAGCCTGAAGGAGTTGATAGATCCATTGCCCAGTTCTCCCCTGGGACTTTGAATGCTTTTAGCAACATACAGCTGTGAGCTCATCTCAGGATCTGGTCTGAAATTAGGACTGAGCTGAGTTAATGAAAGACTGGGGCTGATGAGCAGGTATGTTTTCTTTCAAAGATACTTCCTTTTTTCTTAAGCTCTGGCTCTAAACCAGCATGAAAAATACAGGGTGATGACATCCTTGCCTGAAAGAGGAAATGTACTCAAGAAATAGACATCAGGAAACACAGTTTTAGAAAACAGATAACTTTGAAACCTATGAAGGAACTTCCTTCCACTGACGTTCAAACATTTGCTTTTTAAAAGCCATCTAGGTTAAACATGACTCCTGTGAGGAAGGCTCCTTTTTTTGCTGTTATTCAGGCTATGTGGGCACAATGGCCCACAGCGTAGATCATGAATAAAAAAACCTCATGGGGAAGATAAAATCCATTTTCCTTGCGAATTAGAAAATTATGACAAAATTTCATTCACATGAATGGACAGGTTTGTCCCCAGGTCTCCTTTCTTGAGGTATATTTGAGACACTAGGGATATTGTTGATACTATAATATAAGCAGTGTAAACCTGGAGTTTTTTCTCTTATCATACCTGGGTTTCTTCTTCTACCAGTTTGATTGATAACTAAGCTTAAGGGTATTACAAGGCAATAATGATTCTTCCAAAAAATGATATTCCTCTTGCTGAAGGTAGAGGCTACGAGAGAAACAGACATAAGGAAAACAGGAGGAGCAGAGAGGAAAAGGGAGATTATTCTTGATGTCAGTGAGGTTGGTTTAATCTTGTTTTGATTCTCACAACTACAATATAACTCTGCTGACCAGTTCTGTTCCTTCTCCCACCCTTACCCAGTACTTCCTTTGAATTATACAAAATCTCAGAAGAGACCTTCTGGGTCATCTAGTCCATTACCTACCCGAATGAATCTCTGCTACATCTTATGTTCGACTAATGTGGGTCAAATTATTTGAGGGGGAGGGTTAAGAATGACTGGAAGGATGGTGTCACACTCAACAGAACAGAAAAGCTAGAAAGAAGGATGGGTTTGGAGAAAAGATAATGAGTTGCATCATGGAGGAGTTGAGTTGGAGATGTGTGTGGGACATTCATGTGGTGATATCCAAAAGGAAGTTGGTGATGAAGGCCTGCAACTCTGCAGGTCGGACGAGACTGGTTATGTAGATTTGGGAGTCATCTTAATAGAGATGATCATTGGAATCCAAGGAAGCTAATGAGATCACTGAGAGAGTGGAAATCTTTAAAGAGAAAGAAAGGACAGTCCACAAACAAGCCCTGGGACACACCCAGGCATAGGGGGCAGGACACAGACATTGATCCAGAAAAGAAGACTTGAGAAAGACCAGTCAGACAAGCAGGATAGAGATGGAATGTGGGTGAGGTACTGTTGATTCAGAATCCTATTTCACTTAAACAGTATCTGAGGACCTGAGCTGTTCTTTTCCCCATGATTAGACCAACTAGGAAAAGCAGGCAGTTGAACACTAGTACAAAGAGTACCCCTTTCCTTTATACCCAGGAATAAATTTGGACTCCAGCTTCCCTAAATAGTAATGAACTTGAAGAACTTGTAAGAATCATATTCTATCCATTTCTTTAGTATTTTCCAAAGATTTCAGAATGGTGAGTCTTCACTAGGAAGTAGTAGCTACTGTGCCCTGTGACAAGATTGCTGTTACACCATTAGGGATCAGATGTCTAGGTTTCCACTTGCTAGTATATGAGGGGTGGGAGGTCAGGGAAAGGGGTAAAAAATTCAAACAAAAAAAGTTGGAGGGGAGGAGAGCATCTAGTTACCTTTAGTGAATTCAGGTGGCCTGGCCCAGACGAGCTCCACCTTAGGTCTTGAAAGAGCTAGCAGAAGTAATTTCTGAGTCACTGTAAGAAATATTTGAAAGATCATACTGTAGGAGATATTGGGTGTAGTTTTTTTTTAAATGTCAAATCAATCGGAGAAGTGATATTTGGAAGTTGTTAAAGTTTAGCCTTTTATGAAAGCTATGAAACTATTTGCATAATTTATGTAAGGTCAAAACAATGTAGATCCTTCTCTTGTCCCTCCCACCACTAGAATGTAAGCTCCTTACAACTTGCCCACTGTTAAGTACTTAATCAAGTGTTTATTGAATTGAATTGGGAAAAAAAATTGAAATATCATAGACAGGGGGAGAGGTACCACAGATTGGAGAAAGGCAAATATCCCAATCGTTTTTTCTCCTTTCAAAAATTTAAATTTTTATTTCATTTTCAAATGAAGTTCTTCACTTCTCTGCCTCCTCCCCCTAGAAAAAAAAGAAAGAAAAGGGAAAAAAGAAAGAAAGGGAAATCTTCAAACTTAAAGGCCAGTGAGCTAGACTCCAACTTCTTGGGCAATATTAGAACAGATGTTCTAGATATGTTGTCCAAGGTCCAAGTAGGGAAGTGAAATTTTGAAGACCTAGCATAACTTCGTCAAGAACAGGTCTTACCATGCTAACCTCCTTTCCTTTTTTTGACAGAATTACTAAACTTGTAGTTGAGGGGAATGCTGTAGGTATTGTTTATCTGTTTACCTAGATTTTAGCAAAGCTATTGATAAAAATATCTCCTAGTGGAAAAGATGAAGAAATATTCAAAACTGATTGGATTACCAGGCTCAAAGTAGTTAATGAGTACTATGCCAACATGTCAGGTCTTCCGTGGAGTACCTCAGGCATCTGTGTTTGTCCCTGTGCTGTTTAACATTTTTGTTAATGACTTGGATAAAGGCAAAGATGGGATGATCTTCAAGATCTCAAATGACAAGAAGCTGGGAAAGATAGCTTACATTCCGGAGTACAGCATCAGGATCCCAATGGTTCTTAACTGACTAGAGTATTTGGGCTGGATCTAAGAAAATGAAATTCAATAGGGAAGACTCACTGAATCAATAATCATTGTCTCTGTTTCCTTCCTTTTCCATTTTGTGATTTCATCAAGAGGTTTTGGGGAGACTCAGTTGGGGTTGCATTCCCAAAGATTTTCCTAGACCCAGGTCTCCCCTAATAATCATGTAAGGAAAGCCCAAAGCTAAGAGTTCCAACAAAAACATAGTTCATGTTGTTTGGCGCCTCAGCACCGCCCCCCCCCAAAAAAAGCCAGCACTCTTTCAAGGAGTCATTGTATAACAAATATAGTACAACCCCCAAGTGATGCCTTATTCATAGAATCTACTATGGCCAGTCATTGGATAAGAGACCAAGGAGCTCTGGATCTGGGTCTCAGATCCTCACAACACAGCACATGAACTGGAGACCCTATTCCCTCCTCCAGCGCACACCGAGGCTCCTGTAACTGGTCTTATTCCATTCAACATCTTCACTATCAGGAATGTCCACCTGCTTCTGAAGTATCCAGGTCATGGCTCACTCACGGAGCATGGAATCAAAGGAAGACCCTGGGAAGTTTGTTGCCATTCCAGACTGGCATCTCTGACCTTAAAAACCTTAGTTCCCATTTCCTGTGACCCAAAGACAAGAGGTATGTCACAGGCTCCCTGGAGTGTTCATTCTTAGCTAGTTTTTGGCTCAATGAATGAGTTCTACCCTCTCCTTATAGCGATTTAACACATTTGTTCTCTAAACCCCCCACACTGAAGGGGAAATTATTGAACTCGTCTGTGGTCACAAACTCAGCAAACAAGAGATCGCTACATCTTCCTCCTTCAGTGTGATTTTGATGTTTTTTTTTTCCCATTTAGATGGTATCATGGCAATCTCTCTCGACATGCAGCAGAAGCACTACTTCTCTCGAATGGAAGTGATGGAAGTTACCTCTTAAGGAATAGCAATGAGAAGATTGGTCTATACTCTCTTTCAGTGAGGTATGTTATCCTATCAAGAAATGAGCATAACATAACAGCACTTGACAATTATATCAATGTAACTCAAGTTCTGGGCTCACTCTCCCAGTGCCCTCTATCACAGACCCAACCAGAGCTCAGCTATTACTTCTTCCCTCTAGGGTGGAGGATAATTTTCTAGTAGTAGAGGCTCATGAGCCCCCATCAGTGTATGTCCCTTATTGATTATCTTTTTAGATAAACTAATTACCCAGACTTAAATAGCTTTTAGAAAATGATATTAACTAAGGTAATATAATAGGAACAGTTGGTACAAACTCTGCTCCAACCTGGGACCTGCTCACAACATCCATGGGCAGAGTCCAGGGAAAATTGGGCTCAAGCTTAGAGAACATGAAGCAAAAGGAGTAAGTCATTGCTTACAGAGGTCCTTCTGCTAGAAGGGCTTTTCTCCCCTTTATAACCTGACCCCACCATGAAGTTCTCTTAGGTATGATGTATCTTTTTAATGAACACTTTGGAGAGTCCTGAAGCTGCCTGTCCTTTGTGTGTCTAGTTGACTCTCAGCTCCTGATGTATATGGTCCCGTCAGCTCTTCTAACGATGCTGGTTAGAACACTGGTGAGAATTCCAAATCCTCTGACTTTCTAAGTCCAGGAAGTCATCCTCTGGTCAAGGTGGGAGAGTCAAAGGCTCTTCTCTCCTCTCCCCCAAAGTGATTCTCTCCCAGGAATTTGGCAAGAAGTGCTCTCTCTTTCACTGAAAAACTAGTCTCCTTTGCATAAGAACCATAGGGTATGACTGAGACAGGAGAGGGGAATCAGCAGGCTACATGTGGCCCTCTAGGTCCTCAAGTGCAATCCTTTGACTGAATCCAAACTTCACAGAACAAATCCCCTTAATAAAAGGATCTGTTCTGTAAAACTTGGACTCAGTCAAAAGGCCACACCCAGGACCTAGAAGGTCACATGTGGCCTTGAGGCTACAGGTTCCCCACTCCTGCCCTATTCATTTTCTCTCTCACTCTACATCTTTTTTCGAACTGAATATGTAAGGGCCCTTTAGAGAAGTCAGACAATGAACTCACCATGATGATTGTTCCCCTACGTTCCATCCAAGAGGGGAATCAAGTTTTGTATGTACTCTGCAAAGTGGAATTTGTCTGATCTTCTGGAGATTGAGCTATGCCCTGAGAAAATGTAACCATTGCATTAAATGTCTTAGTTCTTGGACAGTAATGACTGGAATCATATCAGGATTGTGTATTTCTTCTCAGAAAATGATGAATTTCACATAAATAACAAAGAGATATGTATAGATGATAAATGTTTTTCCCTTTCAGAGCCAAAGAATCTGTCAAACACTTTCACGTAGAATACACAGGCTATTCGTTCAAGTTTGGCTTTAACGAGTTCTCTAGTTTGAAGGAGTTTGTCAATCATTTCGCAAACCAGCCTTTGATTGGGAGCGAAACAGGTAAGCTGTGTGCAAATGGGAGCCTTGTAAGAGGTTGTTTGAGAGATGGAGAGAGAAGAGGGAACATAGGAACTAAAATATCCGTAACTGTAATGATTTGTCACCTACACTGGCTTTTGAACATGAAATTTGAGTTGATCTTCTTTAAAGTCAATCTGCTATTATATTGTTACTAGCTTTGAATCAGAAAGACTTGATGTCAAATCTGACACCTACTGTGTGACCTTGGTCAAGTCACTTAACCTTTGTTTGCCTTAGCTTCCTCAACTATAAAATGGGAATAATAATAGAACCTAGAACCTACCTTCTAGGATTATTGTGAGGATCAAATGAGATAATATTTTTAAAGGGAAAAAAAGTGCTTGACACAATGCCTGGCATATAGTAGGAACGATGTAAATACTTATTCCCTTCCCACCCCCACCCCCTTCAGTTAACTCCTAAAGCTGAAGAGCCAGTTCACATCTGCACTAGTGAAATGATTCCTCATTGGGGAGTTCCTTGTACCACAAAAATAATAGGCTGAGTTAAAAGAAAAGAGGTCAGATTTAGAATTTCAGATCAGAAAAGGATGTTGTTGTCAAAAGCTTTTTTCTTTAGATAGGCTTAAGTGAGAAAAAGATACCAGGTGTTGTGAGATACGGTGTGGGAACTCCTTCTAGAAATACAGAGAGGAAACTTTCCAGCACAGTACCTTAAAGTCTCTGGGAGCTGTCTGGAAGGTTAAGTGACTGACCCAATGTGGTCACACAGCTTGTATGAGTCAGAGATGGGACTGGAACTCAGGTCTATCCTGGCCCCAACACCAGCTCTCTGTAACATAGGCTGGTAAAAACCTAAAATGGAATTTTTTGGGCTCTGTTTATGATGAGATAAGAGAAGCTAGGTAGAGCAATGGATAGAGCAACAGACCTGGAATCAGGATATCCTGAGTTCAAATCCAGCCTTAGACACTTACTAGCCGTGTGACCCTGGGCAAGTCACTTAACCTTGCTTGCCTCAGTTTCCTCATCTGTAAAATGAGCTGGAGAAGGAAATGGCAAACCACTACAGTATCTTTGCCAAGAAAACCCCCAGATGGGGTCACGAAGAGTCAGAAATGACTGAAAAATAAAACAATTAAAACGCTAAGATAAAGCCAACCTGAGATACCGATGGTCTCCTTCAACCCCACCTCAGAACTCTGCACAGAGCACACTATCAACAAATATTTGTGGATTTGATGAATCAATTGCACAGAAAAACTCCTTGTTAGTGAAGGTGTATTCATTTTTTATTGATAATGAAATATGAACAGGAAACAAAGAAAAAACAGTGACAAGACAGATTTGATGGCTCTTCACAACTGTCTGTCTTCACTGACCAATAATTGAAACACGTAAGAGCTGTTAAACTATGGGGGAACTGATCACTAATATCCATTTAATCATTCTTTGTAGCCCTGAGATACATTGCCATTGAGATCCTTCAGAGTTACTCTTCAGTCATGAGAATCAGAGGATATGTAATAAGTTATTACATATGTAATAAGGATAATGTAATGAGTTCCAAAAATCAAAAGAGCTGAAATTGCAACCCAAAACATATCCTATAAATCTGAGCCTAATCTTGATGGGAACAAATGGACCTTTAATAAAATATGGCCATGAATGGAAAGTATGGAAGTAAGAGAAAGAGGGAAGCTGGAGACGCACCCCCACCAAATTCATAGGTGAATGGCGAAGGAATAATAAGTTCTTTAGTCTCTTAACAAGATTAGGAGCTGTGGGAAAATAAGACAAAAGCAATGAAGGGGAGGAACTGGGATGGTAGAAAGAAAGTCCCTCTCTAAATGGAGAGAAGAAAGATTACTCCTAAATAACATTTGCATGAATGGGAGAGGATGGAAGGAAGGAAGGAAGGAAGGAAGGAAGGAAGGAAGAAAGGAAGGAATTTAAGTAAATTCAAAAAATTTGGGATAGAGCAGATAATGGAAAAGAGGGCAGGGAAGAGCCTATGGGGTTCACATCAAAATAGTATAAGGAAAATTAATTACAGGGGCAAAATATTGACTTTGAAGATGAAGGGAATAAAAATCAACACCAAAGAAATGTGAAGGTAAACACAAGCCTAATAATAATAACTTTAAAAGTGAATAGACCAAAGAAATCTAATAGAATGACATCCAACAATTTCAACAAAAAAAAAAATCTAAAAATGAAGATACGTCTAGAATGAAATGAGGAGACCACAGGTGATTCCAAAAGAGCAGGAGCTGCAACTATGCTATCAGACAAAGCAAAAATAAAATTTCTCAGTGTCAAGAGAGATAAACTATATAATGCTTAAATTAACCATAAACAATGAAATAACATCAGTACTAAATGTATATCCATGAAACGGCATAGTATCTAAATTAATAGAGGAAAAGCTAACTGACCCACAAAAAGACATAGAAGTTAACACAATTGTAGGAGACTTTAATTTTCTCTCTTAGAGCTGGATTAATCTAACAGAAAGATAGACAAGAAAAGGAAAATAGGGAATTGGACAAACTACTGAAGAAGTTAGATCTAAGAGACTTAAAGCATCCTCTGAATGGAAACGTTAAAGACTATACATATTTCTTAACATCATATTTGCAAAAATAGGCCATGTGTCGGGGCATAAAGAAGTTACAAACAAATGTTAAAAAAGCATGAATGCCATGCACATTCTTTATAGAATATAACAATAAAAATGGTAATTAACATAGGAAGTACAAACAAAAGATAAATAGAAACAGTAATGACATCCTGACTAATGAGGTTCAAAGAAGAAATCACAGAAATAATCAATATCTGTGTGAAAGGTTGATAATAATGAGACAACATGTCAAAATTTCTGGAATGTGGTTAAAGCAATCCTCAATGGAAAAAAAAAATCTACTTGCCTGCCTGCCTCTCTCTCTCACACACACATACACACACACACACACACACACACACACACACACACTGATTCTGGGTCTTTAGAAAACATTCTAACTATAAAGTTTTTGATGAAGAGAAATGAATTCAGACCACATTCAAGATGCTTTTATTCTCACTGTATACCTTTTTTTGAATCTTTAAAATGAAAGCTTAAAAAAGCAAACTTAGTGGATAGAGATAAGGGTGCTGACATCAGCACAATCTCTGTCTTATATTGGCTCTGTGAATCTGAGTAAATCACTTATATCTCAGGGCCATAGCAACTCCAGACTACAAGTTGCAGAACAGGTACAGATCTGCATCGACTGAGGAAGTTTCTTCACTGGTAGTTCCTTATACCAATAAGGTCAGAGGTCTGGGGGGAAAATAAAAGGAAAAAAAAAAAAACAGAAAAAAATCTGCAAAATGTGGAAGGAGAGGATTGAATGATCTGTAGGGTCTCTCCCAGTTGTGACAATCGTATCCTAATCGCTCTTTTTCTTAACTATGGACTGTATTAAATCATTCCAAATTGCCATAAGAAGTTTCTGTCGATTAATTTCTTGTTGTTCACATTTACTCATATTTGAGTTCTTCAAACTCTTAAAACTTCATTTTAATGTATAAAACCTCTTTTTAAAGTTAGCAATAACTTGCGAAACCAATTCTCATCAGCAATTTAAACACGTAAAGGCAATAGGGGGTTTTCTCATTACTAATGCTTTATTATTTTGTATAGACTGCAATCGAGTTTTAAATTTAGTAACCGATACTAAATTTAAGCTCTTCCTTGTTTATACAAATCACCATCAAATATGAAGGTGAACCAAAGGGCAATGATGAGAAGTATGTGGAATGTACTTGGAAAAGCTCATCCAAGAGATCTACAGTCAGTCTCTTGCCTCTTTCAGCACCCAGCCAGCATTACGAAATAAGAGTTCAAGTCAACTATTGCATAGATCTGGACTTCCCTCTTTTCACAAATACTTCTAAGCCAAGAAAATTCTAGTTGGCTTTTTTTTTTTAATGCTGAACTTCGCTAATCTTAAGATTCTGATCCTTGACTGAAGGAAGTTACTATACTGTCATAGTTACTTTATAAGGTTCTACCATAACTTCCTTATAAAGTTAAGCCCTGCCTCCTCAAAGGTCTCAGTGATACATATTTACTTTAAAAGACTAAAATGTTTCAAAATTAATTTTATTTTAAGACTATTATGATACCTCTGGAGGTGATTGGAGATTTTGAGATTTTCTAGGGCAAACATTAGCTGGTTTTGTGTTCTTTCCCCTCCCCACTCCCTAAAAAAATAGAAGAAAAGCAATTTTAAAAGCCTCCTAAATAACTAATTGGCTCAGCTTCTTCCCAGGAGGCACATAATAAACTGCATTGACTTAGCATTCTTTTCTGTGCAGTCAGAAGATACTGTAGCATGTTTTGTATGAAGAGTGAGGTGCTATTTGCAAAGCAGATCAGATAAATCATAGATGTACTATGGGAAGAATCCTTAGAGCTTTAAGCAAAGGAGTTTATGCGTGGCATCCCAAAAAGTCTTAGGGAAGTTTTAAAGATACTAAAGCTTTCAGCAACACATGAAAATAGAAGAGGAACATGAATAGGTACAAGAAGAGAAACTTACCTTGTTTCCAATTCTTCAAATTAGCAGAGCTTAAGACTGCACCAAGACTTTTGGGACACCCTATGTTTGATCCTAGTGGTAATAGGAAACCAATGGAGTGTCCTAAGTTGTAAGGAAAGTGCTCTTTAAACCAAGTGAACTATTATTACTGGGCTTAGACGATCTTCTCTAAAGTTCCTTCTTTCTCACAATCCTGCTGTTATTTGGTCCTTCTAGTCATGCCCGACTCTTTATGACCCCATTTGGGGTTTTCTTGGCAAAGATACTGGAGTGGTTTGCCATTTCTTCCTCCAGTTCGTTTTACGGATGAGGAAACTGAGGCAAACAGTTGGTTAAGTGACTTGCCCCGGGTCACGCAGATAGCAAGTGTCTGAGGCTGGATTTGAACTGAGGAAGAGTCGTCTTCCTGATCCCAAGCCCAGTGCTCCAG